GGGCTTTAAAAACTCTACGGTAGTACCCAATAGCATAATTTCTCCTAATAATGTTTGTAAGGAATATGTAACCGAAACGAAAACTCCACTAATGACGAGTAAAACTGTCAGTGAGTTTATCGATATCGTGGTTAATAACCAATTACACCTGACCACTAATAAATTATTCGAAATGGATAGGAGCACACGAATATATTCGAAGAAAACTCCCACAGTTGAATTAGAATTTAAAACGGACTTCGAAACAGCCTTATTAGATTCTCAATTATAAAGTCACACGTAAACCCAGATATTGCAAGGAAGTTTAGTACTGTAACCGATAGACTAAAAAACAACGTATAACTGGTAGGCGGCCACACTATCCTCACTTGTGGGACCGCAATTTTTAACGCTACAATAGCCAAACTGGATATCCAGTTTATTACGGCTATCTTAGATAACTTGTACTGCGACGTATTATTGGATATGACTTTTTGTCAGCACAAGAAGTTTCTTGGGATTACGCCGCAGGCATCATCCATCCAGGCACGAACAAGCAAACAACTACTTGTTGGAAAGCCAGCCATACCCTTACCGCCCGACCTCTCTCAATTAGAAATTGCAGGTGACCCGAGCACTCAGACACTATTGACTCGAACACTTTGGCGATACCCTGAAGTCTTTAGTCATGTTGTAGGGCGCATTAAACTGATTGAGCATGACATACTTCTAAAAAACCCAATCCTTATCACCTTAAAACCAGATCCCTACCCACCGCAAAAAGAACAGATCATAGACGATATGGTTATGGACATGGAAGCTCAAGGTTTAATTGAACCTAGTACCTCGCCATTTGCCGCTCCGATATTATTAGCAAAGAAGAAGGACGGTTCGTTCCGCCTTTGCGTTAACTATAGGAGATTAAATGAGGCAACTATTTCAGAAGCTTAACCCATGCCTAATCTTAACGATATGATCAGAAATATGCGTGGAACTAAGATATTTAGTGTGTTTGATCTTAAAAGCGGATTTTGGCATGTCTCCCTTAGCCCTAACGCTCATAAGTTTACCTCTTTTCGAAACCGAAGAGGGATTTATCAATTTAGAATCTTACTTTTCTGCTTAAAAAACTCCCCTTTGACTTTTGTCCGCCTAATAAACGAGGTACTTAGAGGATATTTGCGTACTTCGTACAGGTCTATTTAGATAATACAGAAGTATATTAAAATAGCCTCGATATCAATTTAAACCACTTAGAAAAAGTACTCGAGGGGTTAAAAAATACATGGAGTACCATGTCAAGTTAAAAAATGCAAAGTCAGGTTCCTCGAAATCCAACCGCTTTCTTATCACATTTGTTGGAAAGAGACATACAGGGCGATTAAACAACGGTTTTAAAGCACACGATCCGCATGTACGTGAAATAATTTCATATTTGTGTGTATACTAAACCACTCAATGTTCGTCTGAAAGACCATTGACCATCATATCTAGTCAGAGATATTACTCTCAAAAATTAAATAATTGTCCCTCATTTCCTTTAAATAGGGGAGATCTCCAAAAAAAATACAAATTTAAAAATCACTAATTTCTAACATTTTTTTTTTTTTAACAGCCATAACATTTGTAAAAAGGAATGGATCTGTAGGGATTAACAAAAATGTTAAATAACATGTCACAATGAATGCGTTTATATATGTTTATATGTTTTTATCTTAGATGTACACTGCAGTACGATAATACTCCGTGTATTATTTTTAGTATCGCGCTGTCCGTCAATCCATTGACACTTAATATTTGTACTTTTATTTTTATGTATATATACTTCATATTTCAATGTTAAAAAATTATTAATTATTATAAATTTTAATTGTAGTATTTTTGTAATAAATATAAACATCAAAACACTACAAATTGGTGACCTCTAAAATGAACAATAAATCCGATAGTGTGNAATGAACAACAAATCCGATAGTGCGATAGTAAGTGTGCGTGACGACGCGACCGGTAATGATGGCCGAGACCATATCGAATACGGCGAGCCCAATATGAATTCAACGCGAGCGTTTAAAATTCCAACTTTCTGGCGCACAAACCCAGAACTTTGGTTCAAACAAATTGAATCCGTTTTTTATACAACCAGAATTACAGCTGACGCAAGTAAATTTCATCATGTTGTTTCCTCTATGGAAAGTGAAATTCTTGCTCAAGTTAGTGACATAATACTCAATCCACTAGAAAAAAAAAATGTACGAAGCATTAAAAACCCGGCTCATCGAAAGATTTTCCGAATCTGAACAATGTCGGCTTAAAAAATTACTGACCGAAGTCGAACTCGGTGATCGGAAACCATCCCATTTTCTTTCAGAAATGCGTCAACTAGCTAATGGAAAAGTAACTGATGAAATACTCAAAATACTATGGATACAAAGGTTACCACATCAGGTAAAAACTATCATTTCAGCTAGCAACGACAAGTTGGATAACTTAGCTTCGATGGCAGATAAAATTATCGAAGTATCGGACAGCCGAAATGATTGTTTTTCCATTGCCAACATTAGTGACAAGGTCACAAACCGTCAGTCACATGAACAAGCTGACGATGCAACGACAATAAGAAAATTGGAACACCAGATCGCAGCACTCGCACAAGCAGTAGAGCGACTTAGCAACAGCAACTCTCGTAGCTACAATAGGCGTCACTCAAAATCACCTATGCGCCGAGACAATTCACGACCACGATATGATACATGTTATTATCATTACCGATTCAAAGATAAGGCTACTAAATGCAAACCACCGTGTAAATACCAGCACACGTCGGAAAACTATAAACGATCTACTGTCGAGACGACCGACGGTAGTGAGTTTCAATCTCGTCGTCTATTTATTGTTGATAAAATAACAAAAACTCAATACTTAATTGATACGGGTGCGGACTTTTCGGTTTGGCCAGCAGATCCTAAGCAGAAACGCAATAAAATAAAAGATGGTAACCCTACTTTATTCGCAGCCAACGGGTCAATAATTAAAACATACGGCGAAAAATTAATTGCTGTAAATTTAGGTTTAAGACGTGTTTTTAAATGGAAATTTATTGTCGCAGCAGTCAGTAAACCAATTATAGGTGCTGACTTTCTCCACTATTTCGGCTTATTAGTGGACTTAAGAAGTAAACGCCTAAATGATGAAAATACCAATTTTTCGAAAANGTTTAACACCTGCAGAAATTGTATTTGGAAGTACGATTAGATTACCTAATGAGTTTTTTATGCAGTCATCAGTGGCGACAGACCCTTGTTCCTTTGCTGAAACACTAAAGAAAACAATGGAAACCATACGCCCAGTGTCAACTTCAAACCACGGAAGTAAAAAAGTTTTTATATATAAAGATCTAGCATCCTGTTCACACGTTTTCGTTCGGGTCGACCGGGTCAAGAAACCGCTAGAACAACCATATGAAGGGCCGTACAAAATTGTTCAACGATACGAAAAAACCTTTAAATTATTAATTAGGCAAAGAGAATGTATCATATCAATAGACAGACTGAAGCCATGTTTCAACGAAAATGAAGATAATAACACAAATCTATCAATAACAACGAACCAGCACAACCAGAGCAATACAACTACAAGACCAACAATAATACAAACAAAACAAACCAAGTCAGGAAGAACCATCCGCCTCCCCGTAAGGTTTTTGTAAATTCTGAGTTGTATCACTTTTATATTTGTATTTGTATTTTTATATTTTATATTTGTAACTATGTATGTTAAACGTAAAATTATCGTTTTCACTGGAAAGGGGGTAATGTAGGGATTAACAAAAATGTTAAATAACATGTCACAATGAATGCGTTTATATATGTTTATATGTTTTTATGTTTTTATCTTAGATGTACACTGCAGTACGATAACACTCCGTGTATTATTTTTAGTATCGCGCTGTCCGTCAATCCATTGACACTTAATATTTGTACTTTTATTTTTATGTATATATACTTCATATTTCAATGTTAAAAAATTATTAATTATTGTAAATTTTAATTGTAGTATTTTTGTAATAAATATAAACATCAAAACACTACAGATCAATACAATTTTTTTAATGAGAAATACAATTTATATTTCTTTTATTTGATATACTTTTATTTAAAATCGGACCACTTAATTTTATAAAGGGGGGTTTAAAACTTAAAAACTTAAAAAAACGAATTTTTCAACTTAATTTTTAAATATTTTCCGGAAATACTGACACATTTATATAAAATTAAAGCTTATGTTATATACTCGAATACAACAAAAAATTATTTCAAACTTGTTTTCATGGTAAAAACGGACATCAAAGTTATTAAAAAAATTACAATATTAAATTATAAAATATCATTTTGATACTATATTTAATTGCTATAATAAATATTTATTTATATATTACACTTATAAATTATAAAACTTGTTATCAGGATATAAATAAGGAAATAGAAGATCGTGCTGCTTTTGGAATATTCCACCAATTTTTTTAAATTAAACACTATCTACAGATTTGCATCGAAGCGTTTTTTATGATAGTAATTTTAATCACTATCAGATATCATCTATACTGGATTCAACAATGCTAAGTCACCACTGTACCATAATCCCACTGTGATTGGTTTTTTTAAAAAATAATATTTAAATATAATTTACAGATTAATGACGTAAGACGAGAACAAAAATTATGGTAAGAAATGTTGATCTAGTAATATATTCTAAGTAATCGTTTGACGTCATTTGAGTTTTTATTATTTACTTACCAGTAAAAAATATTACAAAATTATTTCATATATTCTTGAATATTCTTGCAAATATTCACCTAAATATTAAATACTATAGTTTTTGATCTACGATTAAAACTTTGCATAATTATTTATTTATAATTCTGTGAATAAAATTTATTGTAATACATCACTTACCGGAAAATATAGTGCCACAAAACAGAATTTTTAATTTTTCAATAAGGATAAAAAAACACTTAACTTTAAGCCAAGAAAGTTTTATTATTTTAGCTATAATTTTAGCTATAAAAAAGTCTTATGAATAGTTTAATTTATAAATAAATAGTATAGGTGTTTCAATTTTATTTTATCTCTCTTGTAAAATTGATTTTTTTCGGATTTTGTTACTTTTGCCAGTAGGTGATGTAGTGAGACCAATTCGTCATACTTAGTATAGCTTTATATCCCACATTTTTTTACTAAAACTATTAAATAAAAATATTAAGTTTAAACAAAAATAGCTCTCCGATATAAATAAATTAGACAAATTTCTTATTAAATTTATTTAAAATTATCATAATAGATTACAAGTTATCATTTAATTTTGCTACATTCAATCAAAAATTTTAATTTATTAAAAATCAACATTAAAATTATAAGCTCGAAGTTAAACAATTTATTTAACAAAAATTCGTATATAGCTCATTTAAATGAAAAATATTAAATTACTGTTAAGAGGTAAATTTTTTTATAAAGAAACAATGCATTTAGCCTTATATTTTAAATTATGCATTGTATGCACTGTATTCACTTTTCATTAGGCATTGTATTTCATATAGAATTGAAGTAACTTCGACTAATTCTATTTTATCATTGTTACTAAATGCGTAACCAATATTTAATGATACTTTGTGAGGTTTGATTAACTCTAGAATTGATTCATATACATCTTTGAATTGTGGTTTAACGTTAGAAATACTTAGTGCTGCAAATTGAAGAAGAACTTCATTGCATCTAATTTTTATATTTTTTTTAATTATATTTGTATAGTAAGCAATAATTTCTTCTAACTTTAATAGAATATCAATTTGAGGTAACCTCAATATTCGAATATGTTCATCATAAACGTCACTTATTAGGGAATATGCATTAACTCCCAAACCTTGAAAAATAATGGAATTGGCTGTAATAAACACATTATAAGCTTTTTCCTCAGAAAAAACATCTGGTCGATTAAATTTCAATGCTTCTAAACAGTAAACGGACAATGTAAGAATGTATTTAGTTACTCGGAATTGTACAGCGAACTTAAGGCCTTGGTTTGAAGCGTAAGACCAATAATTATAATCATTCAATTTCGATACTTCTTCGATTAAGTTCCCAAACGAAACCACTTCATTTCGCATGTTAAATACAGGCTCTCCTTTAAGAAAATGTAATGCTTGACTAGATTGTATCGTAAAAATAGAAATACCGTGTGTTTCATTACAATAAATAATTATTATTGCAACAATACCTGTAGCAAAAAACATTATCTTATTTTATATAAATAGAAAAAGGTTAATTTAAGTAAGAAAATAAACACTGAATTTTTCTTAAACTGAACTATATAAAAAGTGTTTGACATTTATATAAACGTAAATTGTCATCATATTAAAATTTTATTTATCCCTAGCATATCTGCACGAAAATAATAAAAATAATTTATTCTATTATAATTTTAAGTTATGATATTTGTTTTAGAGATTTATGGACAAATTTTTATAATGTATAAAAAAATATCAGAAAAATGTTTGATATTTTTAAAAAGTCGAAGATTTTCCATATAAATTTTAATCTTTAATAATTACATATTTATTAATTGATTTGAATATCATTTAAGGTTCNTTTTAATCTTTAATAATTACATATTTATTAATTGATTTGAATATCATTTAAGGTTCCTTGTATTTCAAAGAACTTATCTTTGATATTGTCAATACCGATATCCTGGTCTCATCAAATAAGTTACGTTATTTTTTTCAAATATAATATAATAATTTTAATATACAGACAAGTTGTAGACAATTCATTTGATAATTACTCTTTTAACCAGTACTTAGAAAAAGGTAACACCAAGAAAACTCGGCGCAATAAATTCAAGCTCTTTTATCAGTATAAATTAAAATAATCTTCTATATATTAATTAATTATTACATATAAATTATTTTATAGGTACAATTTTCTCAGGTGAATAAAAGAAAACTAAGAATATTCGACTAATTAATTTCAGCCATAAATTAACATTTCAATTTCTAAAAAAACCATTTGCTCTGTTTATTTTTTCTATTATTAGATAATGGTACATTATGTGAATCTAAAAAAGGGCTTCAGTCCTAGACAAGTAATCCCCTAAAAATGTAAAAAATTATACATTAAGAACAATACTCTCATTTCTATTTTAAATAATGATTGTTCATAAAAATGTACATATTAAAATTTGTTTTATTTTAATAAATTATTGTGAATTCCTAATTTATTGTAAGGAAAAGTTATTTCTAAGGTTATATTTAGGAACACCTATATAAAATTAGATTAGAACGTATTATTATTAAATCCAGAATCGTTTAAATAAAATTTTGATAGGTCGAAAAACCAATTTTGTATTAATACTTTTCAAGTTAATGTAATTTTTAATGATAAGCGACATGAGTGCGTAACGGTGAATTATTACCTGAGCGTTATGGTAAAAATAGAGTGTTTCAAAATAGTACCACGCTCCTAACTTTTTCTAGATCTTGGAATGCTAATATTAAAAAAAGTAATATTAGATAAAAATATCTTATAATTAATAAAAAAATTCACATGGCAGTTGTTTGTTCACATGTATCTTTTTAAAGTGTTGGAGTACGATACCATGTTTAAAAGTTCATGATAATACTATTATTTCAAATTATTAATAATTTTTTTTTTATATATTTCTTTTATGTGACATGCTTTTTTTTGTAAATATCATTAACTAGATATTATTTGTGATCTTACGACGAATCGTTAAAAGAAATCGGTGCTGTGAGAGCTGAAAAAAAGTGATAACAAACAAACAAAAAAAACACATCAAAGTAAAATTAATACCTCTCAGTATGGATGCGAAGTTAAAATACAATAAAAAACTTATTTTAACTTTAATTTAAAAATAGCAAAGGGAATAATACGTAATATTACAAAAATTTTATCATTTGAAAAATGAAACAATCTATTTATATAAAAATTATTTACTTTAAAATAAATTAGAAAACGTTGAAACATAGTAAAAGATCAAGTATTAAATTGTTTTATAAATATAGATATAAATGTATATCTAAATAATGAATCCGAGTCAGCCCACATAGCAATTTATACATATTAATATTATGAAACTATTTTGCTTAGATGTATTACAAAATATTTCATCACCTACACTTCCATAAAATTTTTTAAATATTTCGTACAAAATAATTAAAAAAAAAAATATATTTCAAATATTTTCAAATGATGTTTTATAAAATATGTTGTAAAGATTTAATAGCAACTATTTTCAAAATATTATATTATATATCAATAATAAATATTTTACTACCTTCATTTTGAAAATAAAAAATAAAATTTTGAAAGTATTTTGTAAAAATTACTTTTATTTTATAAGAATTGTATTTTAATCATTTACAAAAGATATTTTACAAATATTTTTTAAAATTTGATATAAATTATCTTGAAAATGTTATATTGTGTGTAAAAAAGAATTATTTTACCATTTACATTTAAATACTAATTTAAAATATAAGTGTCCCTTATTAACAAGCAAGTATAGGTCCTTTTTAGTCTACTTTGCATTTTGACTCATCAAAGTGTAAAAAAATAATAAAACATATCATAATATAATATTATATGACATTTTATAGCTTATCATGTACATACAAATAATATTTATGAAAATATTAAACAATGACGGCTAGAAATTCGAGTATTGATTAGATCGGCGAAGTGATAATACGAAAATAGTTAATAAGTATGTTATCACCTATAACAAACATTTAGTTTATGCGCCATATAATATATTTACATTTTCATAATACGAAAATGAATTCATATTCGTATTATTGGGTTAGTCCAATTTTTGCACTTTAATTATAAACTATGGGTAATTAAGGTCTGCAGCGTTAAAATTTAGTGGACAGTTTTGTTAAAAATTACAATACACAAGTATTTAAAACTACAGAGAAAGAAAAATGATGTTAAAACATAGAAAAAATTTTTCTGTTTCAATATTTAAACTCTTTAATGCAACATATTTAAGTAAAAAATGAACACGGTAAAAGCAGTTTCTTAAACATGGCAACCCTAGGCAATGGCGTACTTATAAATTTTTCCTGGGGAGGTGTAGTTGCTTCACAGAGTCCCGCGCCTAATAGTATCCTGAAATGTCACCCGGTTTTTTTTGTTAGTTGAGCAAAAAAAAAAAAGTCTTTAAAAATTTAGGCCACTAAGAAATAGAGCTCTAGTTGCGCCTATGCCTAAGAGAAAAATGTAGGTCTCGCAAATCACTGTCGCATAGAACTATAAAGTTTAATAAATTCATATTCTTATGATAACCTATCAATAGCTTAAAACCACGGTTCTGGGAAGTAATATATTTCTGTACTGTGTTAACAATCATATTTTCCATGAAATGTTCGCTTATGTTTTTAACACGTTAATTTCATTGTCTTTCATTGTTTTCATGCGCCATACCTTGGAGGATTATTTCTATTTCAATCTGCTATTATTATACTGACTTATATTAAAGTATAATACTGTAGCATTATTACCTTTAGCCACATACACTTTGTAAAAGGAAAGTAATTTTTATAATCAACAATATTAGTTTTTCATTCAATACCTTAACCATGGTTGTTACATGCTGTGAGCTAATGCAATCATCGTTGTGATTATAGAAAATTTCTGAAAGTTATCCTAATTGTACAAATATTTATAATAATGAATCATTAATTAAAAAAAAAAAATACTATTTTAAAAGTGTTATGCCTGGAAATGGTTCAATATTTACAATGTAAAAACATGTTTTGCCCCTAGTGGGTTGCTGGCCATAAGGCCATGCCTATTTATGATGTAATAAGTAAACTTATAACTTCAATTGGTTTTTCAATTTTGTTAGAATTAATTGGATTAAATTAAATCTACTATAATATCTAATATTAAAAAAATTAATCCTAATGGTATATATTATCATTTTGGTATAAAAAATAGAATACTGAGGTACTCCTCTATTATAGGACTAAATATAGAGTCTATGGAACTAGCTGTTGGGATAGATGGTCTTCCTATCTCTAGAAGTAGCTCCAGTCAGTTTTAGTCTATACTCGCATATATTATTCCACATAATAAATTTGTTTTTCCTATTGGTATATTCTATGGAAATGATAAGCCAATAGGTAGTCACGAATTTCTTAATGATTTTATTAAAGAAGTATTAGAACTTACTGAGAATGGTGTTGTGGTTTATAACAAAGTAATAAAAATTCATATTGAAGCAATTTGTTGTAACGCTCCGGCTAAGTCTTTTGCACTTTGAGTTAAAGGTCACTCAGGATTTTCTTCTTGTACCAAGTGTGTTATTGAGATAATGAAAGTATCAAACGAAGTTATGATGATTATTTAGTTATGAAGTACTTAGAACACCGGTGTTCTAAGTACGTCATGGTCATGTCTCTCCTACTATTTCTTGTCTTGTTCTAATACAAAATGTTGATATTATAAATCTTTTTCCACTTGATTATCTTCATTTAGTTTTACTAAATTACTGATATATTTTCATTATATATGCAAATAATATTTTGAAAACAATGTAATTAAATATTGTGACAATGTTTTATTGTCTGTCAAAAAGTGATCTAAAAATATTTTGAAAATATATCAAAACTTTTAATCAACATTTAGAATATATTTACAAAACATTATAATTTTGTAAATAACATTTTCTTAATATTTTTAAAATATTATTTTGCTGCATAGTAGTTAATATAATTTGTAGAAACCTTTCTTTTAAAAATACAAAAGAAAATAATAAATTACTATTAATAAAAGGATATCAGATAATTCATGAACATATATCAAAACAGTTACCTAAATAAATTAATACTTATGTGCTGATGAAGTTGTTTCACTAATTGCAAACTATCCAAAAAAATTTGATGATCTATGTAAATGAAATATTCAACAATTCATTTTGATTACAAAAGCAATTGGTTTTCATCACAAGGCATCTAAGGGATAAAATAATGAAAGAATTAAATACTAACTTGTGTATACATTCCTCTAAACAATTGTTTAAACCAAAATATTTGATATTTTATGATTTATTCGATCACCAACATATTAAAAATGAAAGAAATTTCATGAATGGTTCTCAAAGAAGACAAATTAAAGCACACGTGAAAAATGATTATTTAGATCTTCTCCGATTTACTCCCTTAAATTAAAAATGTGCAGACGATAGTAATATTGCATTATCAGATTCATTTCGTTTCATAAAGTTCAATTTTTACCATCGTTATGTAGAATCATTTCAAAAACTAGTTATTAACTCTTTTTTACATCCCGTTTTCCTATTACAAAGTAAATACTGTAATCATATTAAAAGCCTAATAAATTCTAATATATATGCAAGATTCTATAATGAAAATATTCTTTCATGTATTACATCGTTTGCTCGCACAATAATAGAATCTAAATTTTACAAAAAATCTAATCACTTTAAACATGTTATGACGTAATATTGTAAGAAAAATTATTACATGAATAAAAGTTTTTTATTTTTCATTTTAACATTTAAAATGATAATTGTATCAAATCTTATGAGCGTTGTCAGATAAGTTTGAAACACTCTGTATAAAAATATTCCTTTAGCCTAATATAACATAATAATATATTTACTCTTATTTTAATAATTATGAAACAAGTGTTCCTCAATTTTTTTATTATTTTTAACTTCATTATATATATATACCATTGTTTATTTTATAACAAATTAGAAAAACCTTGAAACATATTAAAAGACCACGTAATAAAATTGTTTAATAAATACAGATATAAATGTATATCTAAATAATGTATCCGAGTCAGACGAGTCACTTCGATTATAAAGGTACTCAAGGATAATAGCATAAAAGAACTAAATATTAAATTATGTAAACATTACCTTATACAATTGTTTAATTCCATCAATCCATTGATAATGAAAATAATTTCATAAATGACTATGAACATTGTTATTTAGGTCTGAAAAAATATGTATAAAAATATTCCTTAAACGTAATAAATTATAACAATATATTTACTCTTTGTTTAGAATAATTATAGAACAAGTGTTCCTCTTTTTTATATTTTAAAAATTTATCANTAGAACAAGTGTTCCTCTTTTTTATATTTTGAAAATTTATCAGTAGTGAATAATACGTTAAAATGATGAAGCTTAGACTATACATAACTCTTTTTCTTTACACAAAATGTGCAATTTCCTTAGACCATTTGGAATTACATTGCAATTTCTCTAAACATTTGTTTAAATTTTTCAAGTACAGTGAGAAATATTTATTTAACTTTGAAAATAACATTTCTGAACTTGAATTAAGAAATTATGGAACAGCAGTAAAATCTCATGGCGACATTGTTATGATTATGTTAGATTCATTACGAGAAATGGACGAGAAGTATATCGCAGCGGATATAATGACAGTAAATTTATATTTGAACAACGTATCGGGATCTATAAATATGATTGGTAAAGACGAACATGGTAAATTAAATAAATCTAAAAACTCACAAAATTTACTGAAGGGCTACAAGATTCTACATCGTTCAATAGTAGAAAGATTGGAATATTTTATAAATGATAAGTGTTTAAAAGTATCAGTTCAAAATGATTTCACTTCCCTAACTAATTTTAATGAACCAATAAAATACAGCTCGGCAGTTTTGCTTAATGAACTCGAGAAACTTAATAGTAAAATAATTAGAAATATGAAAGAATATTTGACTCTAAGAGATATATTTGTAATGGATAATAATATAATATTAAACAATTATTGTGACATAGTAAAAAATTTAGCATTAACTTTTGAAAAAAAATCATACAAAAATTTCAATCCTAAAAATATTTTGTTTTATGATCTAATGGAAAATCAAGTAAATAATGTTTTAGACATTGTTCGATATGTTCCGTTAAAACTAAAGAATAATAATAATCAACAAATAAAATTGTCCGATATGTTTCATTTCATCAAGTTTGACTTTAACTTTCAAAATGTACAAGTATTTTTAAATTTGTTATACATAGCAACAGCTCGTCCAATTATGTTGATTGTACGTTTATATATTTTTTTGGTTCATAATTTTGTTTTAATTTTTAAATCTCAAGTTAGCGAATCAAAAACCATTATGAAAGATAAAATCATTGAACTGGGTCAACAAATTATTAAAAGTATGAAATCTTTTATGGATTTAAACTTATATCAAGATTATTTTAAAAATAGCTTGAGCCGTATGTTTATTAAGACGTATAAAGTTATTTCATTATTCAAAGAACGTAATGATTTGTTTATAAATAGTGACACGCAACAAATATCAAAAACTTACTATTCATACATGAGAAAATTATTTTTTAATAATTTTTTTAACAATATTTATGTCACAGAATTCAATATTAGTAGTTTACATAATATAGCTACTGAGGAATTAAGTAATGTTTCATTTTACATTTCAGAATTAAAAAGATATCGATATTATTTTGAAATAGCAAATGTATTTGTTTTTAATTCATATGTAAATTGGCGAGTTACTATTAATACTATAAAACAAAATATTCCTTATGGTAATATAATATTAACTATTATGATATTTATACATAAAATAATAAGTTAACTAAAAATACTATATATTTTTATATCCATAAAAATATAGTTGGACATTAGATATAATTTTTGAGTGATTTTTTTTAATGATTTTTGTTTGCTTATAATATTCAAAAAATAATAAATTGTGCATTGAAAATTTTTAATAGTATAATTTGGTGTGAAAATAGGATTTTGATATGTTTCATGCAATCTTTACTTTACTAGATTGATACCTTGTTAAACTATGTTTAATTATCTTCAAATAATTTACAATTGTATACTTTTATATAAAATTAATGAAATATTACTTATTTGAACAATTACGTATTTTTCATTCATTCGATATAAACTTTTTGAAAATCTGACTCATTGTCTGTCCATAGGAGGAAATTCGAAATAGCAACTTCTGCCCAAAAATTTGACTTTTACGGCAAGCTACAAAAATACTTCAAGCTTCAAACATATGTTAAATTTAATTAAATAAAAAATATTTGTCCCCACACTTTTTTTTCTATTGGAAAATAGCCGTCAAATTGGACAAAAAAAGTAATTTTCATGTAAAAATCACTGATTAAAGTGTTAATATTTTAATACTAAAAAGCACTTTTAAAAATTTTCCAGAAATACTGCGTCCTTTAAACATATGTTAAATTAAAGTTTATGTAACATATTATAAATTAAAAATGTATATATTTGTCCCCACGACTTATCTTTTATGTTCAAATTCCTGTCAAAGCTAGAGAAGTGCTATTTTTGTATTCAAGTATTACTTTTTTTTTGTTAATTTTAAAATACCTTACATAGGTTTTGTATAAGTAATGAGATCACCAATTTTTATAAAAGTTAAATGAATATAACTTGCATTAAATATAAATTTAATCTTTTTTGGATTATTTCGCTTCCTCAAATGTCATAAAAGTGATTTTGAATTTTTGAACTAGCTTTAATTGTCATTTTTGAGTAATTTGTGTAATATACAATTTGGAGTACGAACTTCGAACCCGCCCGAGGTAAAAACTTTTTTTGCTTTTTTTTCCTAATTTTCTTTGAAATGAAAAAAAAATGTTCGTTTGATTTTTAACATATTTACATTGAATAACTTCAATGAATATCAAGCATCCAATCACTGTAGTTTTCCTTTTGAGCAAAAAAATTTCTTATTCAGATTAAAATATATTGCTATGTATTTTTTTGTGCCTGTAATTTATTTTTTTCATTTCTCACTTGATCAATATTGAGAATAATACGTCAAAAAAACACGATTTTATAATCACCAAATATTCGAAAAAAATTCTAGAAAAAAAAGTCTAATTTTTTGTCTTTCACTCAACATTTTGAAACAAACGTGATAGCTAGTCTTTCTACACCCATATAGAACTTACCTTTCAGTCTCATTAGAATTTTCTTATCACACACCAGATGCTCCTTTCTACACACCCACACTTCATTCTGTGTCTTACTCTATTATTATTATTCATTAATATATAATAATATATATATAATTTTATGACTATTTATTTATAATAAATATATTTATATTTTTTTTATACGAAAAATGTAATTTAAAGTATTGTTTTTAGAACTATTAGGAAATCATGAAGACATATATCGTTCAGTTTTTTTTCATAGTATTAATACAAGAGATATAAAAAAACATAGTCATAGCACAAGTGATGAAAATGATGAGATGAACAATGATGATGATATGGATTTTGATGTAACAGCTCAGACATATTATACTCCTAAATATCTAGTTGATTATTTACTTTATGAGTAATTTTTATAATTTATTTTCTTTAAAGGTGATTTAAGGATTAAATCAATAGTACATAGTACACAAAATCAATATAATGTAATATGTTTATTTAAACAATTGAACAATAATAAATAACAATTGTAGTTATCAGTCAAAAATTTAATTAATTAGCTAATTCATGTAACTTTTATCATGAAAAAATTGTATTTATAATTTTTTTTTTATAAGATATTTTATGAGAATTAATCTTTTAACCAATAATACAAATTTCCAAATTATTTTAAAAATTAATTTATAAAACAATACGCTCATTTCTATTTTAAATAATGATTTTTCGNCAAAATACTGGAAAGGCTTTTGCTTAAGCGTATCCTTCCGATCATGTTCGATAAAAAAATTATACCTGACTATCAATTTGGTTTTCGTGCTCAACACTCGACTATTCACCATGTCCATAGAGTTGTTGACGCCGCCTCTTTTGCCCTCGAAAAAAAACTTTACTGCACCTGCGCATTCCTTGACGTATCCCAGGCCTTCGACAGAGTATGGCACGAAGGTCTGCTATACAAATTAAAGCAATTCCTACACCCAACATATTACATAATACTGAAATCATATCTCACAGACCGCTACTTTCAGGTTCATTATGGCTCTTCGGACTCTAATATAGCAGGAATTGCGGCAGGCGTTCCGCAAGGCGGAATACTCTCCCCAATTCTTTACAATATTTATACATCCGACCAACCGACCACACCCAACACTTTAGTAGCAGACTATGCTGATGATAAAGTCATAATATCATCCAGTTCAGATCCTATTATAGCCTCCAAAAACCTACAAAATCATCTCTCACTTATGGAAGATTGGTACAAAAAGTGGCGATTTAAAATAAACCAAGCCAAATCAGTACATACTACATTCACACTTAAATTAGCACCATGTCCAGAGATATCAATTTTTGGCACTCGGATTCCCTCATCCCCAAACGTTAAATACCTCGGGCTAACTATTGATCGCCACATTACTTGGGCTCAACACATCAAAGCCAAAACATCACAATTAAACTTCCGCTTACAAATACTCAAAACCCTAATCGTCAACAACAAACACTTAAACCTAAATATTAAACTACTCCTTTACAAATCTCTCCTAAAGCCAATCTGGACGTACGGCTTACAGCTATGGGGCAACGCAAAAATTTCTAACCTAAATAAAATTCAACGGTTCCAAAATAAAATACTAAGAAAAATTACCAATTGTCCACCATATGTGTCAAATCACTCTCTGCATAAAGATCTACGTATGAAAACAATTCAAGAAGAGGCAAAAAATTATTATAAACGTTTCCACCTACGCCTTAGCTCTCATCCAAATGAGCTCATAAAAAATCTATCTTCATTAACCATCCCTGGTAACCCTCTTCGCCGCCTTAAGCGTAAATGGTGCAGAGACCTACTCAATCCATAAAAAAAAAAAAAATATATAAATTTGCGTATAAGGACAAAACAAAATAATTAAAAGACGAAAGTGTCATCGGTGGGTGGCTTCTTCATTCAATATTTCATTCTTGTTTATCTTAGCTAATACTCTTATTGTGCCGTTTGTGTATAGATTGTGTATACAGGGTGTTCAGTAAATAAGGAAACAAATTTCTATTGTACTCATTGTTTGTAACAATTTAACTGTTTCCTAACTTACTGAACACCCTGTATATTAATAAATAAAAAAAAAAAAATAATTAATAATGATTTTTCATAAAAATGTACATATTAAAATTTGTTTTATTTTAATAAATTATTGTGAATATCTAGTTTATTGCAAGGAAAAGTTATTTCTAAGGGTATATTTAGAAACACCTATATAAAATTAGATTAGAACATATTATTATTAAATCCAGAATCGTTTAAATAAAATTTTGATAGGTCGAAAAACCAATTTTGTATTAATACTTTTCAAGTTAATGTAATTTTTAATGATAAGCGACATGAGTGCGTAACGGTGAATTATTACCTGAGCGTTATGGTAAAAATAGAGTCTTTCAAAATACTACCTGGCTTCTAACTTTTTCTAGATCTTTGAATGCTAATATTTAAAAAAGTAATATTAGATACACATATCTTATAATTAATAAAAAAAATTATAAATTATTTTACAAATGAATTTATAAAACAGTTTATTACTTTTTTTTTAAAAATCTCATTTTTATTATAAGATTTGTGAACAATTGTAGATTTTTCCTTCAAGATAAATCATTTTTAAGCTAAAAATGTTCTGAATTTTAAACTTGGAACATTCAACAACATAAATAATCGCCTTTTTAAAAATTTTGAAAAAATGCTAAAAAAAACTTTCTTACTTGTTTCATAACTTTAATTAAAATGGGCAAAATAACAAATCAAACAGTAAAACCAGAACTTTATATGACAGTAGTCTGCGACTTTAGGGTTGGAATCCTTGAATGATGTATGGCACAAGTCGCATACCACTTTCTCCCCGTGTCTGAGAACATCATTGACAGACATTCTGATAGGAACCTTGGTTTTGCTCAACAATTTAGAAATGTTGCGCGTCAATTTAGTTACTGCCATCATAAATGCCTTGGCGACCACTTCGCGATTCTCGGACCTACGGTATATCACCGGTGATTGCGGTATACCATAGCATTCGAAGAGCTCTGAGGGCACATCATCCGTTGTTTTCACCATGAACTCTTAGCTCATGGGATGGTGGGTGTACACTAGAGTGGTCCTACGTTATTGAGAGGCATTTTTTTTTTTAAATATTGATCAATACACCCCTACATATTGTTCAAATAGTAAAAAAAATAAAACCAATTTTGGTCATGATAAATCAACTTTAAAACGTGCCATAAGAGGGTTTAAAATTGATCCTTAGGGGTTGTTTTTCAGTTTTTTGAACTTAACTCAAAATCTATTAAACTTACAATAAAAGTCAATAGAACTTAATTTGTAAACCTAAATATTTACTATAAAAAAGACATTTATATTTTTTTATCAAAAAGTCAATACTTTTCCGTAAAAATTTAAATAATTATCTTTTTATTTTTTACTAAAATTTTTTTTTTTAAAGTATAAAAATATTTCACCAATTGTTCGTCACACAATAAAATATTTCATACAAAAGTTACTTGAAATTAAATTTTCTAAATTTAAGTTTTTATACATTTTTTTTAAACTTTAATACTTTTCGTGGAGAATTGAGTTTATAAGAAATAATAATGATGCATTATTGCGTCTTATGATAAACAGCAAAATAAAATCGTATTTGTTTAAGTAATTTTCCCTTATTTCGTATTAAAATTAAAAATGTTCAATTTTTAAAAATTTAACGATGGTTGTCTTTACTAAGTTTGGTAACTCGTTCGTTTTTTTAATAGAAGTGATACAGCTATATATGATGATATATATATATATATATATATATGATGATGCACAGTAATTAGATGAGGTAATATTGAATTACGTCGATTTTAGTATAATATAAGCTTTACAATAGTAGTAACCAATTTTTGAACTCTTGAGCAATTTAATAATTCCATATAAAAGGGAAATGCAGGGTAAGCAAATTAATAATGGTGGGAAAAAGAATATAAAAGGGAAACAGGAAAAGTATGCTGGATTGGACGAGACTGGACGTTTTGTCGAAGAAACGTCGAGTTACGTGGACGCGAGTGTCTTTGTACGAATTATTTTGTTTTGTGTTACATTTTGATATTACCTTTTTGACTTTGTGTTTGATACGTTTCTTAAATAAAATAGCTATTTAAAAACCTAGACTTAGCGCAAATTTTTTATATTCACCGTGTTCTTAGAATTGTGTGTGTGTGCGGCTAGAGTCAAGGTTGGACTACTGGTCCTTTAGTCAATCTTAATAATTAGTGTACGAGCTGGCTAGTCTTTGGGCTTAACCGTCCCTTAGTGGGTATAGTAAAAAGGTAGTTGTGCTGGTGGCTGACAAGGAGCCACCCTTCAGTCTGCTACTTTGAGCTAGACTGTGCTGACGGGTCTAAATTCTACCCCTTTAGTAGTTCACTAATTAGAAGGATTGGGGCTGATCAGTTTATCCAACGGGAAGATTCGAGAAGAGCTTGAACAACGAACTCATCGTCAATATATATATATAAAACATTAATTAATTTGTGTAAAACTTTTGTGTCTACGTTGGGGCACTACCATCGTACGACAGTTGCGTTCTGGTATCTAATTTTGTAGTGAATATCGTAATTACTTATCAACTGAAAAATCAATGTACAAATCACGTATAGTACACCATTATATATATTAAAATGTTGGAATTTACAGATTTATCAGAAATAATATAATTTTTTTTTTGTGTGATTATCTATTGACCTATGTTATTTGACAATAACTGTGAATTACATAATTGAACGTATATTGTTAAATTTTAACAGTACGTTTTATATATTTTTTACTTCTTTAAAAGTTACTGACGTCACATTTTTTTTTTCGTAATGGTTTCAAGATCCAGCTTACGTGAGTCTAAATGTATCTATTATTACGTAATCCAGAAGGGGGCGCACAATTAATTCAAAAGTATATATATAAGTATAAATACAGTTATCACAAGATGATGCGTAATCCAAATAGGGCGCACGATTAATTACAACGATATATATATATATATATATCTAAACGCCGTAGTCGTGTTCGCTAGAACTATGTACGTCAAAGCAAAACGAAAAGAAAAAGAACCACAGAAAAATATACCACTTCAGGTGTACGCCGAAAACGAAACAGACAGCACCAAAATTAATCCACCAGTCGAGGTGTACGTCGAAAACGGAACAGCCAAAAACAATACACCACTTCAGGTGAACGTCGAAACGAAACAGAAAGCAATATCGGTAATCCATATTCGGCGGCGGCCTTATCTCAGTGTCAAGGGCGGGGAGACGACCGATGACAACCGATTGTCATATTAATAGCTGGACGGCTGATATCGAGAGAGACACGGGTGAGCGCCAGCCTAGAGCAAAAGGCGGTGCCGTGTCACTATTTAATTGGATTTAGTTCTAATCAAATAATAGGTAGTACATTGCCATCTAATAGGCTAATGTTATATGTTTTATTTTATAATTTACGGGAAGTAAAATTAAATTTACGTCAAAGTGCTACTTTAGTTA